AAGGGGGAAAAGGGGAAGGAAAGGAGCGACGGTAGTGTGGGGTGTGTTCTTGAGGCTCCTCTGAAATTTAGTTGACATTGTTGAAAGGTGCATTGGCATAGGCTCAAAGCTGCGTGAGCACTTTTGAGAATCTCAAGAGGCGCTCGGAGGTGTGCTGTTGCGCAGGAAGGTGCGTGCGAGGGGAGGGGCTGGTTGAGGGGGAGGGGACGGGTTGCGGCGAGGGAGAGACGGGAGAGACGGGTAGATGGTGGTGCTGATGTGACTTCTACCCTTGTCTTGCTGTTCTTTTCCCAGTGTCGATTCAAGTATTAAGGCGTCTCAAAACCTGCAATTGGCTCACATATAACCCTCCGTTTCGTCCCTCTGCTCTCTTCTCTTTGTTCTCTGCTCTCTTCTCTTTGTTCTCTGCTCTCTGCTCTCTGCGCTCTGCTCTCTCCAGATGGTGGAGCAGGCATCGGCGAAGTTCATTGTGATTGTGGACGATACCAAGGTAACCCACTCACCCGCCACCGCCATCCCTGCCACCATCCCTCCGTCCGCCTGTCCGTCCATCCCTCCCTCCGTGCGCCTGCCACTCACACCTTCACTATCTGTCTTATGAGACATCTCCAAAACCCGTCACTCACGAGTCACGCGTGTGTGCAGAGCTAGTCCCGCCTTCACACACACACTGCCCGTTGGCTGTCTGTCAATGTTCCAGTGCAGACAGACATTCCAACAGCCGTTAACCAACCCCCCTCGTCCTGCCCAACCCTGTCCTCCATCTTGAATCAACAACCTCACCCTACCGGCCCCCTTCTCCTCCCTCTCTCTCCCTCTCTCTCCCTCTCCTCTCCCTCTCCGCTTCCCCCCATGCGCACCCCGCCAGCTGGTGGACGGGCTGGGAGGCAGCGGGCTGGCCATGCCGGTGGAGATCGTGCAGTTCTGCTGGAAGTACACGCTCGACCGCATCAAGGCTCTCTTCATGTCTTACACGCCTCTAAATCCCCCCCATTCTTCTCCCCCTTCTCCTCCCCCTGCTTTCCCCTTCGCCTTCCCTTCTTCCCCTTCTCCCCCCCTTCCTCTCCCCCACCTCCCCCGTTTTTCCTCTCCCCTCCTTTCCCCTCCTCGTCCCCTCCACCTCCCTCTATCCATCTCTCCCCCTCACCAGCTGGTGGACGGGCTGGGAGGCAGCGGGCTGGCCATGCCGGTGGAGATCGTGCAGTTCTGCTGGAAGTACACGCTCGACCGCATCAAAGCCCTGCCGGAGGTCGCTGGCTGCGAGGTGAGCAGCAGATGGGGCAGGCAGGGGAGGGGAGGGTAGGGCGTGGCAGGGAAGGGGAGGGTTGGGCGTGGCAGGGAAGGGGAGGGTTGGGCGTGGCAGCGAAGGGGAGGGTAGGGCGTGGCAGGGAAGGGGAGGGTTGGGCGTGGCAGGGAAGGGGAGGGTTGGGCGTGGCAGGGGAGGGGGGGGGCAGGGAAATACATGCTCAACCGCTCTGCCGGAGGTTGCTGGGTGCGAGGTGAGGAGCAGATGTGCAAGGGTTGAAACGGGAGGGCAGGGCCAGGGCTGATTGTTGGTATGGGAGCGGGGATGCATGGATGCAGGTGGTGAAAGGGGAGGGAGCCGAGGGTGTATCTAGGGCACAACCGCATGGCTGCCGTGAAGCTAACGCTCCCTTGCGTTGTTTCCTCACCTGAGGTTGCTCTTTCTTATTTTCTGCGCCTGCTGCATGTGTTCTTGTTTGTGTGTGCTTGTATGTGTGCTTGTATGTGTGCCTGTATACGCCTGTATGTGTGCCTGTATGTGTGCCTGTATGTGTGCCTGTATGTGTGCCTGTATGTGTGCCTGTATGTGTGCCTGTATGTGTGCCGGTATGTGTGCCTGTATGTGTGCCTGCCTGTGTGCGTGTATGTGCGTGTACGCGTGTGTGTGGCTGTGGCAGGCGAAGCTGCGCATGGAGGGAGACAAGCCGTATGTGACAGACAATTCCAACTACATCGTGGACCTCTACTTCACCGTGAGACTGCTTGCTTGCTTGCTTGCCTTGCCCTTGCCTTGCCCCCATCCACCTGATTCTCAACGCCATTGTTGCTGGCCAAGCTGCGCATGGAGGGAGAGAAGCCGTATGTGACAGACAACTCCAGCTACATCGTGGACCTCTACTTCACGGTGAGAGTCCGTGTGCAACATCGGCTTGCCTCCCTCCACTTGATGCTCAACACCATGTGCTCTGTTGGAGAACACAGGCAATCATGAAAAAAAAACAAACAAAACAAACAAACTTGCAACAATATAACAAGAAACAAGGAACAACTTGTGACATGCTGCATTCCGTCCGCTCTTTGTATTCAGGAGGCTGCTTCCACTTCACGTGTGTGTGCCAGATCAAATGCCACACACTCGCCGTGCTCTCAATGCCACCCGTCTCCCCCTCCCACCTCCACCAGACGCCCATCAAGGACTCGTACGCGGCAGCCAAGGCCATTGATGGGCTGCAAGGCGTTGTGGACCATGCTCAAGAGATGGTTCCACACAGTCAACCTGCTCTCAACCCCACCCGTCTCCTCTCCCCCCTCCTCTCCCCCCTCCCGCCTCCACCAGACGCCCATCAAGGACTCGTACGCAGCAGCCAAGGCCATTGATGGGCTGCAAGACCATGGGCTGTTCCTGGACATGGCCACCACTGTCATCATTGCTCGCACTGATGGCACCTCAACCCCAATCCCCACTCCCCTCCCCACCTCCACCAGACGCCCATCAAGGACTCGTACGCGGCAGCCAAGGCCATTGATGGGCTGCAGGGCGTGGTGGACCATGGTCTGTTCCTCGACATGGCCACCACTGTCATCATTGCTGGCACTGATGGTATCACCGTCAAGAGCAAGTGAAAAGTCACCACCGACACCACCATTACCAACCACCACCACCAGGTTTAGGTAGCGTGATTGATTGGTTGATAATCTGGTGTGCTCTAGGTGTGGGCCTGCGTTCCAGGGAGGCTGGTGAAAGTGTGTTAATATGTAACTGCCTTGTTGAGATTCTTGTTATTCGGCCCGCACAAGATGGAAAGTAAGCAATTTCGGGGTTCTTTACCTGTGGTGGGTGCATGGTCACAGTGATGGATGCAACAACTTGCTCAAGCCGAAAGAGGCCCTGTAAGAGGGTGCTCCTGGTGCTCATGGCAGACCAGGCAAGCAGGTTCTCATGTTGCAAATTGCAGTGCAAACTCTTCGGACTGGGCAAGCAACCTGGTAATAGAGAGGAAAGAACTCAAGAATTACCTGCTATGAGAGAGCATATAAATGGATATGATATGAGCTACTGGGAGGTTGCTCATTAGGAGGGTGTGCACTGGAAATTGTTGATGGCAAAAAAATCAGAATTATTCATTTATGAGGATGTTTGGTGTACATCCTGCACAGTCAAAAGCTGAATTCAATGGGTTGTGAATTACCATTTTCCTGCAACTTGTATTGTAGTTCAAGAAGTGTATTGTTATTAGTTGAACGAATTCAGGTGGAGGTGCATTTGGGGGGACAATTCGTTACTTTTTGGAGGGCTTCCTCTCACCTCCCAACAACCTTTCGCAAAGACAACGCAGCCCTGACGAAAGGGTCGCACGGTCCATCGTCGTGCAAGCTTTTGGACGGTGAAAAGGTGGGCCGCCAGATATCCGACTGTCATGGTTCACTCAACCTCACGGACGTGGAAACTTTGACATGCCCAATCGAAATTCAACCACTCCTCGCGAAGTCGCTTATCGCAGCGGCTGGTGAACGGCTTTCGTTGGCGAAATCGCGACTTCCATTCCTACCCTCCCTCTGAGCTGCGAGAGCCTTCCCTTTAGCCTTTTGTGGTTACCTCGACGTTGCGACAACTAACGATTCGAGTTTCCAGTCGCGGATGGCCCACCGTCAATGATGCCGACGTTGGGTTGTCGCGAACCGCATCAAGCAAAACATCTCCCGAACCGCATTGCGCGTCGCGATCTCGGATTTTTTGGCACACCCATCTTCACATTGCCTCAACTCTACATATTGTGCGATCCCTCCAAACACATTCCACAACCGTTGTTGAACAATTGCGCCTCACATTAGGCCACTCATCTCATCATCTTAGCTAGTAGCATCAGCTTCCTGTTGTGGAATATCATATTCCACATTTACTACTCCTGGTCGATAAGGCATCTGTGAGAACTTGAGCCCCGCGCACTAACAGCAATGGCGTTTCGACTTATGCTGATGTTGTCTCTAATCGCTTGTGTTTCCGCTGCTGCTGCTGCTGCGTCATTACCCGCCTCAGCATTTATGGGTGATCCATCGGCAAATCCGCACTCAAAAGTAGCCGAGGCGGTTTTCGCGCATAAGGCGGCATGGTCGGGGCCCATCATCCCGTCCGCAAGTCCTGATATCATCGTTGCTCAGGATGGCTCGGGGAACTTCAAAACGATACAAGAGGCGATCAACTACGTGTCGCCCTACTCAGTGAAGCCCGTCAAGACGATCATATTCGTCAAGGCAGGGACATATTTCGAGGAGGTCGTCATACCATCCACTCATGTACGAACTCTTACCACGTCAGCTCTGTCTCGCGTGATTACAAAAAATAGCGGTTAATTCCCCGGAGTCCTATGGCCAAGTCATTCTCCACGGTCGTTGAAACTCCGTATTAATTTTACGCTCGTCGTTTACCGATACATTTTTTCCCCGTTGCAGCAATTCATTACGCTTATTGGTGAGCCCGGTCTCACTCGCGTGAAGTTCAACAAATACTCCGCCAAGCTCGACGCCAATGGCAATCCAATCGGCACAGGTACACATAAATTTGTCCACCAATTGAAACTATTTTCCTGCTTACCTGCGCGCCATTTCTTTTGAATCCCGCGGTCGCACCTCCTTTTTGTCGGCTTCTCAAACTTCGTGTTACCCTCCATCCTCGTAATGCCCGTTCCCTACCCTCCGTAATGCACCTGGTGACAGCCGGCACGGGCACTCTGGCTGCATTGGGCGACGATTTTACTATGATCAACATGATCGTCGAGAACAGCTCTCCACGTCCTCCGCCCGCTACCATCGGATTCCAGGCCGTCGCTTTTCGCGCTAGCGGCAATCGCACTGTAGTGTACAACTGCAGTTTTTTCTCTTACCAGGACACTCTATACGCGCAAGATGGCTTCCAATACTACAAAAACTGTAAGCAACTGCTGCTTCTGTTCGGTTCAAGCGCGTTAAGAAGCATATCTGGATCCACGCCTCTCTGCTCGCTCCTCCGTACTGCTCCTGGCTTCGGGCCTTCCACGCCCGCCTCACTCCCCTCCATGCGCGTCGCATTGATTTTGTTTCCTTTCGTGCATATATCGCCAGGTTACATCTTCGGCGAAATGGACTTTGTGTTCGGCAACGCGCGTGCCATCTTCGATTCGTGCACTTTCTACATGGACTCGATGGGCACCGCCGCGGTCACAGCGCAGAAGCGAGACGTGCCGACAAACGACACATGCTTCGTGATCATGTACTCGCAAATCACGGGCAAGAACCAGGGCTGGTTGGGGCGCGCGTGGGGAAAATACGCGTGCACGATCGTCGCGTACACGGCCATGGACAACGTCATTACTGCCGAAGGCTGGAGCGACTTCACGGTCCCGGCTAGAAGACTGACGACGTTTTACGCCGAGTATAACAATCGCGGGATCGGCAGCGTGCTTGAAGGCCGCGTGTGGTGGCAGCGGGTGCTGTCGGCGCGGCAGGTTAAGAAGTACCTAACGACGGACTACATCGGCCTGGGCACCTGGATTCCGCAGTTGCCGGTGGTGAACCGCAACGTCGTGACGCCTAAGTTGGTCCCGAAAACGCCGCCCGCGAACGCCAAGTGGCGGTCGTGCCAGCTGGACGACAACGATATGGAGGACTCGCAGGCGAAGAAGAACAAAAAGTGCTCCAAGTGCTGCATGAAAAAGGCGCCTCTCAGCCAGCGGCGAGACTGCATGAACTACTGCATGAAGTAAAATGAACCGGTCGGGGGGTGGCTGTTGGGGGGAACGCTTGAGGGGAGAGATGGGTGCTGCAGAGAGGTGGGTGGATGGGTGCTGCTGCTTGTGGTGGCAAGAAAATGGAGTGGCACCTTGGCGTGTGACCGCTATACTGGCCGAGGCCCGACAACATAACCGGAGGAAGCAGTTACGATACACTTTCGAGGCTTTAGGATAACAGCATTATACAGATAATTGAGACACTAGCTTGTTCATGAATTTTTGTATTTCTTATGCAATAATCGCCTCGGAATAATTGCTATCAGAGGACAGTTTGATACAGCAGCATACGTGTGTCTGCTAGGTAAACAACCCCACCAGCCCACTAGTTTGCCACAATAGGGAAGGGAAAGTACACAGCAGTGGCTTGACTCCACCCTTTACAATAGTGGCATCTTTTCAAACAGGATCTGCAATTTTTTGCTGAACACACAGAAATTGCTTATCGAGAAAACCTACCCTATAATATGGCACTTCACACGTGTAGGACAACCCTAACTGTGCTGGAATGATACCAGTCACCAGATCTAGCCAAACATCTAGCTAGGCAATGCACTGACTACAGTTTAGCGAGGCAGTAATAACCTGCTGCTTGCAAGATGGAGATTGCGAGTGCCAGAAAATACAACTTGTTCCCATTGGGTTGGAGAGGAGAGGAGATCGAAGACATGCCCAGAGAAAAACAAACACGCGCACTCATTTCCCCCAATCCCCCCCTCCCCATTCCTCTCCCAATCCAATTCCCCCTTCCCTCCCTCCCAACAATTCAGTTTTGGTGGAGTTCTCAAGAGAAAGCAGGGAGGGAGATAATTGAGCAAGGAACATAAACAGACAAAGGTGCAAAGCCGAGCCGGACAGCTTTGGGGGATGCTTGGGTTTGGTGCGCGGTCAGCGATGGGTGGTGGGGTGGTATGATGAGGGATGGGACAGAGGCTGCGACATCTGGAGAAACGAACAGTGCACATTGCCTCCCACATACATGCCACACAGAAACAGACACACCGTCCACGGGGAGCATGTATGGACACACCCACACACGCACACACACACACACACGCACGCACGCACGCACGCACGCATGCACACACACATGCACGCACGCACCCACACACGCGCGCGCGCATACGCACACATGCAAAAATAGGAGGAACACAGGGGTTAGAGAAAGGAAAGGTGTGTCGGCAAAGAGACGGCAAGCCATCAGGAACAACAGCATGGGGGTTTACAATGTTGGTGGGCGGGCAATCAACAAACAGTGCAAGCCTTCTATTCCAGCTAGGGTGAACTTGCTATGTTAAGCCTCACACTGGACTGGACCTCTTCTGACCACTCTGGCTGGCATATCAACGCCTGCAAGTGACAGACTGAAAGGACTCTTCCCATCAGAACAGTCACACACACACACACACACCTATCCCACCAACCCCAGCCCTCACCTCCTGGAATTGCCCGCATCCTGCGTGATTCGCCCTCCCCCGCTCCTCCTCCCCCTGCGCCCTCCCCCCTCCGCCACCACCACCACCACCTCCGCCAGCCCCTGCCACTTCCCCTCCCCCTCTACCTGCCCAGAGGCGCCGTGGGGGGGTGACCCACCGCGGCATCATGGGGCGCACACAGCCCACAGTCTCCGCCTTTGCACTCTCTCTCCCCTCGCCTCCCCCAGGCAACCCCCCTCCCCACAGTCGTCCGCTTCCGCCCACCAACCCTCTCCCCAACGTTTCTGCTACCTCACTCTCCGCAATCCGCGCCCCCATGCTTTCATACGGGGAGGAGAACCAGAGCGAGTGGGGATCGGCGCTAGAGGGGGACGGCTGCGCAGGCGAGGGGAGGGCGGGGGAGTGGTATGTGCGGTTGGGGGGAAACGTTGCCCCTAACGGGGGGTTGCCTCCGGGGAAAGAGGCGGTTTGCGGGGGAGTGGATGAGCCGATTCCCGCAGCACGAGCGGCTGTATCGGATGCGACGCTTCGGGGAACGTTGAGGATTTTATCCAGGGGCGGAACGGGAATCTGCTCTGCTTCCGAAGGGGGTCCCCCCTCCCCGTGGCTAGCTGCGTGGCGGGAGCGGCGAGAGGAGCGCGTGCGGAGGGGGTCCCGGCGGAAGAGAGACGTGAGAAAGGTGAGGGAGAAGGGCTGGGAGGAGCGGTGGGGGTGCGGGTCGAGGGTGGTGCGGTGGGGGAACGTGGGTGTGGCGGAAGGGAAGTGAGCGGACTTGGGCTGTGCTTGCTGCTGCTGCTGCTGCGAATGGAAGGGTTGCTGCTGCGAGTGCTGCTGCTGCTGCTGGTAATGCTGTTGCTGTTGCTGGTATTGCTGCTGTTGTTGCTGCTGCTGATAGTAGAGCCGCTCCTGAGCATCGAATGACAGGGATTGCCCAACGTGCTGTGGCTGAGACTCACCCTTTGCTCCCATCACCTGCTGCTGCGCCTGCACCTGCTGCTGCTGTTGCTGTTGCTGCTGCGGCTGGGAGTAACCCGAGACACGTGGCATCATACCGCCATGCTCGTTTGAATATCCTGCCACCGCCTGTCTGTGATCTGGGTGCTCCCTCCCGCCCCTCGGAGACACCAAGCCCTGACTATTCTCCTGCGCGCTCAAACCGTCCCTCACCTGCGCCCCCTCCTCCCGCGCCCCTATTCCCCTCAACCCGCCGCTCCTGCCGGATGCGCCCGCGCCCGCGCCCAGCCCTTCCCCCCATGCCATTCCTCCCCCCACGCCTGTCGCCTCCCGCAGTACGGACATGCTGTTCGCATATGCGCTCACCTCCATGCGCGCATCAACTCCGCTTCCGCTTCCGCCTCTCCTCCCCGGTTCCCCGCTCGCGCTCGCTCCCCCTGGTCTCGCTTCACCTCCGCCTCCTCCGCCTGCGCTTCTTCCGCGGGGGGAAACCGGGGTTCCCCCCGCCGGGTTTCCCCCTCTACCCGCAGCATCCGCCCCCCTCTGACCGGCATTCCCCTCAATACCTGCTTGAGCCGCCCATGCCTCCGCTCCGCGCTGACCCCCTCCGCTAATCGCCCCACGGCTTTCGCTTCCGCCAGCCGCTGCTTCCCGACTCCTCCCCCCCACTTCCCCTTCCGCATGACCACTTGCTCCGGGTATATTGCTAGCAAAGCCAGTGCCCCACCCTCCCGCGCCCTGGTCTCCCGTTCTTCCACGCTCTTGTTCCGCGCCTTGCGCCTTTTCTTGCGCGCCCTGCGCTCGCTCTTGCGCGCTGCACTCCCCCTGCGCGACGCCCGCTTCCGGCGGCTGCGCGGGCTGCTGCGCCAGCTCGGTGGCGTCGCGCAAGAATCGCACCATGTGCTGGCGACGAAAGTCGGCGACTGACGTCGCGCTGCGATTGGAGCGTTCTTTCAAGCCGCGCAAATCAATCAATAGGGCCTCCTCATTCCCCATGCCGGTTCCAGGCATGGTTTCCGGTATGCGCACATGCTGCTGCTGCTGCTGCTGTTGCCGTTGCTGCTGATGTTCCTGCAAATGCTGTTGGTGTTGATGAAGCTGCTGCTGCGCCTGCGCGATGCTGCTGCTATGCCATTCTGTGCCACTGATGCCATTACCAGCCGTGCGATTCTGCAACGGGTCGTGGCCGAGCGCCTCTGCGAAACGGTTCTCCGCGAAAGACTCGCCGGCGATGCCGCTAAGCGTCGCCATGGGTGATCGACAAGTACTCTGTAGGAGCAGCAGGCTAAGAAAAATAAAATACGAAAGACACCTGGAGATGTTCTTATAACAAAATGCTGCGATAGCCTTTCTTCAAGTGAGTATCAGTACTGACCGAAACACCATGGACTATAAATGTGCCGCACTACTCTGCGTGCCATTCATGAGGTGCACGCGCTTCTCGTTGTTCGGCTGCAGGGTCCTAATTATTGGTATGGGGACATAAACAGGAATGTTGATGGAGAAAGGATTACAGAATGCGCGAAGTGAAGTGGGAAGGAATCGAGAGATGTGAAGAAGAGGGTAGAATGAGATGTAGGTCAGGCAAGGCAAGGTACAGTACCTCCTCAAGTGGCTGTGGATAGGATTCAAGAGTAAACTGCTACAGTATGCCCTGGGGTGCCCGTAACCTTGAGAACACCAGGAGGAAGCAACTGTAGCGTGTAAATTGCTGTGGGTAACTACTGTACAGCAGTGAACTGTGCGATTGTTCTTCCACGGTTGTTCGAAACTGTGGGACTGTGATGCACAGCGCCGTGGGACTGTGACTGGATCAGCGTACACCAACCACAAAATCTATTGGCTGCCCGAACGAAGAAAGCGGGAGTGCTGCAGTCCACGGGGTTGGCTGCCCGCATAACTTGACGAGGGGTGGGGAGGGGAACAGAGAGTCAAGTGGAGTGCCGGGCGTGAAGGCGTAGAATAGAATGTGCCTCATATTATTGTAATCGTTTTGATACATACTTTTGGTAAATCAAAGCTGTAAAGTGAGTTTTTAGCAATAAATCGACGCTTATGATACATCCTGCGATTTCTGACACACTGGAGGTCAGAGGTATTTCCTTCGGGAGTTTTGCATGATTCTAGCTTATCCTCCGCTCATGTGCTTATTTTAGCATGTGCTTCTCTCTAGATGAACACTCACTGAATTCACTCATTCGCTTTCGTGTGTAGGGTAAGACAGCAAGCTCCCTCCTCACCCTCACACGCTTTCATATCTCCTGCATTCCACTTTCTTTCTCATTCTCCTTCAGCTGCTTGCACTGCCTCCCCTCGCTTGCTGCCCCAGTGATTTATTTCTTGGCTAATATAGTTTTTTGTTGAGCTGAGAAAGCCCTTAGGATCTTTGCAGGACAAAAACTCTGAGTAGGACAATGTAATAGCGGAAGCGTTTTAAATGAGAAGTTTGTGAACCACCTTGCGCTGGTATGTGAGGGCAAAGTAGATTGATTAAAACAAAGAGATACAAGCTTTTATAAGAGTACAAGGGAATATGAAGGGTTATAACTAATAACTGTTTTGCTGTTGCTGTTGCGGTTCGATACAGTGACGACTCGGGCAACTGCTCAGTAACGAGTCAGTTGTTTGTCCTTGCTGTCGCGCTGTACTTGTCAGGTCAAAGGTCGCTGACCTTTGACTTTCGCGTAACCTCCAGCAGTTGTTAAACCTCCGAGGGTTGACTCGCCGATGCTTCGCTGTGTTTTGCTTCGCTTATAACTTAGTGCTTCGACACGACAGGGGCGCTTAAGTTATTTGTTTCCAACACTCCCCTTCGCTTCTGGAGTGTCGCTGCTGGTGACGTGGCTCTGTCCAGTCAGCAGCATGCAATACTCAAACTTCTGCTTTCCGAGTTTCTTGGTCAAGTAATCAGCTGCCATCTCGGACGTGGGGCAGTAAGACAGCTCGAGTCTCCCCTTCTCGATCTCGTCCTTCACGAAGAAGTATCGCAGGGCGATGTGCTTCGTCCTGTTTGCGAATCCATTTTTGTTGGCTATGCCACGAGATGGGTCCGATAGGTTCGAGGCGATAGATGTAGCCGGTGCGCGAGCGTCTGTTGTCGGAATCGCCAGCGTGATCGGCGTCGACGTAGCCGATTAATTTAGGTGTCGAGGTTCCGTTCTTGTGATAGGTCAGGCCGATCGTCGGAGTGCTAACGAGGTAGTGAAGAGCGCGGTCGAGCTCCGCCATATGTTCTGTCTCAGGCCTTTTGAGGTGGGTGGCGAGTTGACTTGCAGAGTACGATAGATCCGGACGACAGGTGACGGCCGCGAAGAGGAGGCACCCCAGCTTTCTCTGGTAGTCGCGTATGCCTGCGGGCTTGAGCAGAGCGGAACTTTCCTTGTGATTTCCTGCGGTGTAGCGGTATGGCGTGGAGATTGTGATCGGGGTGAGTCCGAAGCGTTTGGCGATAGTGTCGGCATATTTCGCGGCATTGAGATAGATCGCGCCTTCCTCTTCCTGGATGTTAAGACCGAGATACTGCGTGACGGTAGACGAGACCGTGAGCGGGAGATCTTGTTGTAGCTCCCCTTCGAACCAGGTAGTGACGTCGTCGGTCGAGCCGATGTATAGCAGGTCATCTACGTAGACGATGAGTAGCATGTAGTCGTTGCCCTTTGTGAGTCGGTACATGCCCTGGTCGTGCGGTAGCTGGCAGAATCCGATGCGAATAAGTCTGGCGTGCAGATACTGCTGCCACAGTCTCGGTGCCTGTTTGATGCCGTACAGGGACTTCAACAGCTGACAGATTTTGTTAGGTTCTTTGTTTGACTTGTGCGGTAGTTCAACGAAGATTTCTGCGTCAACGGGTGCGTAGAGGAAGGCATTGGCGACGTCAATCTGTCGTAACTTCCTTTTGTTAGAGTAGGTTGGTAGGGATAATTGACTATCGAGGAAGTTTTGGGTACAAGGATGAGAACCCTAAGGGGTTGTACCCTACATTGGCTACCCCACTACAGCCTAACCAGATAAAACATGCATATAATTGACACACCCCCATAGGCAAAGTGGGGGAGAGCAATGGGTCACAAGACCAGTCAAGAGAAGCAAAGCAAGCTCAGGGTGGATCATAACGTCACCACACACACTGAGCACAAGCAAAGGGGCCACAAGGCCAGTTCACATGCAGAGGTATATATGCAACAACAACAGCACAGTGATCTCTACCTAGCAGAGCAAGCATGCAGGTATATATATGTATCACAGTACAGACAAAGTCTACAGCAAGTGAGGAAACGTGGGCACAAGGCCTAACAGAGTACAAAAACGCGGATGATCACCAGACGGAAGTGCCTTGGTGAATATATCAGCAGTGTTGGCCCGAGTGGCCATGTGAGCAAGACGAAGCTGACCACGCTGCTGCAACTCTCGAGCCAAGAAGTAACGCAGAGCGATGTGCTTTGTTCTGTGCTCCAGTCTGTGCTCCTGACACAAGGCAATGGCGGCCTTGTTGTCGACGTACAGCACTGGAGGAGAACGAGGCCGCTCTCCCAAGTCGGTCAGCAGGTAGGTGAGTCAGCGTAACTCCAGTGCAGCCATGGCTGTGGCGTAGATCTCAGCCTCACAACTAGAGCTGAGAACTGAAGACGAGCGTGTAGAACGCCAAGAAACTGAACCAGAGCCAAGGCTGAAGGTGTAACCCTGTGACGACCGCTGCGTAGCCTGGTCGTCAACCCAAGAAGCGTCCGAGTGACCAGTGAGGACAACGTCGCCCCGTCCTCCAAGCACGAGCCCCATGCCCGATGTACTGCACAAGTAGCGTAGTACCCTCTTAGCAGCATCCATGTACACCTTTCGGTGCCGACCAGGAGCCACGTAGCGAGCCAAAAGGCCAAGATGGTACGCAAGGTCAGGACGAGTGCAGGTCATCAGGTACATGAGGCAGCCCACTAGCTCTGGGTAAGGACCACTCGGCTCTACGGACTCGTCCGAAGGTGGAGCTGAGAGCGAGTGACCTGTAGCCAGAGGAGTGGCCTGTGCCGAGGACCAGGTGAAGTTGAAGCGCTGAAGGACCTGCTGCACCATGTGTGACTGAGTCAGTGTGATGGTGCGGCGTGCTCTGTTCCGGGTGATCTGCAAGCCAAGGTAGCTGCGCAGCTCACCCAGGTCTGTGCACGCGTGTCTCTTCTGCAGCTCCGACTTCACCAGGGCGAGAGCCTCAGTGTCAGCAGTGGCAAAGACCAAGTCGTCGACGTACACGAGGATGTAGAACGGCGGCAGCGAAGTGTCGGTGCGCAAAAACAGCGACGGGTCAGCAGTCGACGGAGCAAACCCAAGAGCCGCAAGTGTCGTCCTCAGTGTGTCGTGCCACTCACGCGGCGCCTGGCGGAGACCGTAGACTGGCCGCCGGAGGCTCCACTGGGTACCAGGAGGGAACGACCCAGTGAAGCCAGGTGGGCGGCGCAGCCAGATCTCCTCGTGCAGGCTGCCCTGTAAGAAGGCTGTGCTGAAGTCAAGAGAGTGAAGCTCGTAGTCACGCTGAGCGGCAACGTGCAGTAGCACCCGAAGAGTAGTCATCTTCGGGGTGGGGGAGAAGGTCTGGAAGAAGTCGACTCCCTCCCTCTGACTGAAGCCTCGAGCAACGTAATGAGCCTTGAAGACAGGCGGAGAACCTGGCGGCCGCTTCACCCTGAAAATCCACATGCCACTGACGATGTTCGCCCCAGGAGGGGGAACCTCGTCAACGTATGTGCCTGTGGACTTCCAGGATGCCATCTCTGCGTCCATGGCTGTCTGCCATTGAGAGGAGTACTCACCCGCGATCGCCTCAGCGTAAGAGCGCGGGGTCGGGATGTCTGGAGCATCCGGGTCTCCCTCAGGGGCAAGCAGCATGGACACGAGATGAGGCGCAGCGGCTGCAA